GCATAATTTTCAGTATAAATTATTATGTTTAAAAGTTAACGTAAAAAAATTAAATTATTTAATTTTGTAAAAATTATTGATTTTTTTTACATATATGAATTATTAATCAAATAATTATGTTGGATTAATTGGGCTATAACTTGGCTAATTAAATATATAAATATAAAGAAATTTGTTTTAAATGTAAGCGATTAAGTCGCCATCTCGTATTGAATTTAATAATTAGAATTAATTAATTATGAATACTATGGGATAAAATTTGTGAAAATTTTCAATTCTTGCAAATTAAATTAATATAAATTGATTATGAATATTTAAAAAGCCTCTTAGATTTAGTTTATATTTATTTAAGCTCCTCCAAACTCGAAATAAAACTGGAGGATCTTCTTCTTGCCACAATTTATGCCACGAAGAAGAGGAAACAAGGCTGAAAAACTCTCGGATTTTTAAGGAATTTCACTCTAAGGAATGAAAACCTTCAAATTCCTTAAAAATCCGAGAGTTTTTCAACCTTGTTTCCTCTTTTTCGTGGTATACGAGCCTTGATTTATAGCCTTCTGGTTAGTTTTGAATACAGATGTGTTATAGGCCTATATACATGCTATTGCATTCTATTATTTAAATAAAAGTGATAAATTCTAAGAGGAAGTAAACTAAAAGAAAAGAAAATCAAGATCATAAGAAAAAGTAAATTTTTAATATAATTCTTAATCCGTGAAGCAAGAGAAGCGACGAACCGTGTTTTTTCTTTCTTTTTTTTTTCTTAAAAAGACTACAAATTTCTTTTCATTTCTTTGACGAAAACTTACGATTTTCTTGTCGATTCGAAGGTGCCCAGTGGACCAAACTATATTTCCTAGTTTCATGGAAGTAGGAAATGCATTAGAAAGTACGTACGAAGCCTTCCGTTTCACCGAATCTTACGGTGTCATCTTTCAATGCAACGTTAAGTACTGCATCGGAAAGTGCGAACCGGTAAGTGACTTTTTTTTTTCTGGTTACGCGTCACACTTCCGTTCGAAGCTTTAAATTTAATTCTTTTTTTTTTACACGTTTTAGGCGGTTTGCACTACAAATTTAGGAAGAGAAGAATCGTGGGGACGTAAGAAGAGATCGCCCGAAAAATCCAATGACGAAATGACTTTGAGTCACGAAATATTGGTCCTCGATTTCGGTGACGAAATCTCTAGATCCATGACCGAAAGATCGCATTCGGCTAATGGTAAAGATTTTCTTCGTCGCTATAAAATTCTTCCTCCTATTATTTCGTTCGTTAAAGGGGATGGCCTAAAAGTCAGTTAATCGTTGTCTTATTTTGTAAATGATTATACCAGAATTGGTACAAAGAAAACTTTTTCGAACTCGGTTTGCAAGATTACTCGGTACGCACGGTTATCTGACTTTTGGACTACTTTAAACGTCTGTGAATATACAAAGTAGCCAAAAAAAAAGTCATTTATTGATAATTAATCGTGTTTTGTTTTTATATATCAAATTTCAGATATTAAGTATTTTTGTACCGTTGTTTTATTTTCTACGCTTTTTCCAACCTCCTCACCTCCAAAATTTTCAAAGATTCTGCTCGACATTTAAACTTTCCCTTCCTATACGACTATAAAATTTGTGTATACAGTAGTGCGTCGTTTATCCGAAACGTCGGTTATCCGAAAGAATTTCAGTCGGCAAATTTAAATTCTCGCTAGTGCTGTGGCGCTGCAATCTTTGGCTATTTCTTCGTCTACTCAAATATTTTACGTTTTTGATACTAAATTAACTTCTGAATTATAATTTTTTATTGTTTTTATATTTTTCAATATATTTATTTTGTTTGTACAAAATAAAAAAAAGTAATTTTTAACGATACAATAGTCTTCGTTAGGCTTAACAACGACGAAAATTCAACGCGAAGCGACACGCAACGGAGAAAAATTTCAACACGGGATAGGTTAATATATTTTTTCGTACATAATCGGTTATCCGAAAAATAAGTTATCCGAACGACCTCAGTTCCCAATTGATTCGGATAAACGACGCTCTACTGTATATATATATATATATATTTATATCATTAATTTCCTGTATGTGTACAGAATTTTTATCTTTACTTTTCTAGAATCATACACCGTTAGAGAATCCATAACATATTTGGAAAGTTGTGCATCCAGAACATCAATCTTAGCTCTGGCAGTAACTAGTTCTCTGCTACTGATCTTGTACGTTTGTACAGTCGGATACTTTCTTGGTCAAAGAAGAAGTAGAAGTATGAAAACTTTCCATTAAAACTACAGAAAAATTAACTTTTAAACTTGGAAGTTAGGACAATTTAAAGGATATTCCGTCATCCATCTCATCTAAAATTCCATTTTCACAGGTTTACCTCATAATTTTAAGAACGAAAATAACATAATTACGCCATTATATGTTCTTTATATTATTATAATTATTATTATTATTATTATTATTATAGTTATTGTCATCGTTCACTTTTAGAATGGCCAAAAATTTATATATTTTCTAACTGTAAATATTGGGTTTAAAAAGAAAAAATACATTTTTTTTTTTTTTAATGACTTACTGCACCGCAGACAGTTAAAGCGTTAACGATATCGTCAGTCTGTCTGTAGATCAGTAAGTTATATTCACAGCCTGCCCTTTTACATCAAGTGTTTCATTAATTTTTTTGTGAAATTTTTAAAGTATTTATTGACATAATCTATGTTACTTGATGCAAACTGGGGCATGCCTTATTTTTTTTATATATATACATATATATATATGTATGTATATGTTTGTTATACTGTATATTGTATGTGTACGTGTGCGATTTTTAACTTATACATTAAAGTTTTGGTGATATTGGATGATATTTGGATATTTTTTTTTATTATTCTTTAAGGAATATTTAATCAAATACACATTATATCAATAAGAATATACAAAATATTGTATAAATGATTTTTTTTCAAAGTGTAATTCATAATATAGCAGTTCTCAGCATGTTTTTAGCATACAGAACAGTTCATAGCATAATTTTCAGTATAATTTAAAACAGTTTATAACAGTATTTAACATAAATTGTGCTGAGTACTACGTTCACAAATATTCAAATAAAATATAGCATTTTTTAAACATTCGCTTATAGAAAAAGCTTATTTAAAAACCTACAAACATTAATTATTTATATACATTAATTGATATGAATCTATGTAAAGTAATAAATTACAATACTTTTGAGTGTCCATCGGTCACGCTCTGAATCCCCTGCATGGTTCGTTGGAGAAATACAACAACTTTTTAAGCTTACTTTTTATGTACGCATTCCTAGAAAGATGCAATGACATTAAAGGCTTATTTTTTTTAAATACAGTTTTTTTTTTTCTATATTTGTAATTACTCATGTATCACTATTGATTGATAATAATGGCATTACTATTAAAAATTAATTAAAATGTTTCTATATTTGTTTAATGGTTTATGACACAAAACATAATACCAAATAGTGTTCGGTGTAAATACACCGAACACTGTTGATTATTCCGTTTTATATGAATTCCATGTTGTATGAGTCACTTAGATTTTACAAATACATGAGCTGTTCACAGCCCGGTACACGTATTTGTAAAATCTAAGTGACTCGTACAACATGGAATTCATATAAAACGGAATAATCAACAGTGTTATAGGGGGGTCGACTGTACCGTAGTTTAAAGTATACTGAGTTAAAAATTAAGGTTTTTAACGTAGAAAAATGTATGATAATTTTTATAAAAAGAAACAAAACACTTTTTTTTTTTTTTTAACCACATTTTCAAAAATATTTCTAGTAATCTGTTCTGCAACATTACAAATTCCAAGTAATTCAAAGTTCGTGACGTTACTGTTCGTTAACTATGCGATGAATTTCGCTATATACTAAGTTAAATCTATTATTGTTTTATATCTTTAAAAATATTTTAATTATTCGCGGAATAACATAAAATATGACACACTAGCAATAGACTTTTCACATTATACTGACGTTTTTACAGTAACATTGCAAACAGCCTTATACAGTCGATCCCCCTATAACACTGTTGATAATTCCGTGTTATATGAATTCCATGTTGTACGAGTCATTTAGATTTTACAAATACGTGTGCCGGGCTGTGAAAGGCTCACGTATTTGTAAAATCTAAGTGACTCGTACAACATGGAATTCATACAACACGGAATTATCAACAGTGTTATAGGGGGTCTACTGTATTGAAAATGATTTAAATGTATAAAAGTACAGTAAATACATATTAGGAATGTATATTTACATATATATATTTATACAAGAGTTTATAGAGTGAGATGATAACAGATTTATAGCGAGCCTAAGCTGCATCAAGGATCTACGATTCAAATCCTAAAAAGCCGAAATATAGGCAAGTACCGTAGGGTCTTGATAACAAGTTGTAAGCCTACGTATAACATAAGCTGAACACAGCATAGTACTGTACTTATACATAACACATGTACATACAGTACACAGAGTGCATACACATATAGAAATATAGTACATAGAAAAAACCAACTTATTTAAATGTGGCTCCAATTTATTAAATAAAATTCTAGAAAATACAAGAATGAAAGCTATTTTAAGGACTAAATACATATATATATACTGTATTGTTTATTTAAAATAATATTAAAAAAAAATAATAATATTCAGTGCTGCCATCTGTTACCTATATTTAAATTTTTTTTTAAATAATAATCTTGCTTGCTGCTTAATAAATAAATATTGTCTAATTTATTTTACTATTCTATCGTTATTTGTAATATTAAATATAACTTTTTCATTACTTTAAGCAGAAAATTTTGTCAAAAATCCCAAAGTTAATTTTAGAAATATCGTGCTGCCATCTCTTGTCGAATTTTAAAAATATATAATGACAAAAAAAAAAATGTGTTTTTATTAATTCGTGACTTCCTATTTGAGAAATTACATAATATAGACATTAATAATTTTTTAAATTTAATTGAAAGAAAATTAATAAAATACAAAAATTGTTTAGGATGAAAGATCGGCTTCTCTACACGGCATATCCGTAGTGATATATTGCCAACTTTATGGCGTAAGAAACAAGTATTTATAAATAAAAAATTCATTTTCAAACTGATTAATTGAATATAAAAATCTTTCAAATAATTACATTGAAATAATAATTTCATAAAGCAAATAAGAATAGATATTTTTAATAGCCTTATTTTACTTTCAAGTGAATTTACTGATTTTTATCTGATCCTGTTTAATGTATATCAAATACAGTCCAATTCTTAAATACATTCTGAATAATCTATCATAATTTGATTTATATCACAAGACAAAACATTTCTCAGCGGGAGATGTATCAATTGTTTGAATCGTGTTAATTATTTTCGAGTGAGATAATCTATTAGCGAGGTTGCGGCCGAAGTTTTCATCTCCAAAACGTGAACGTCGAACGTCGAGCGCAGCTTATAAGATAGCGGCGCTCGACGTCCGACGTTCACGTTTTGGAGATGAAAACTTCGGCCGCAACCTCGCTATTATTCAAATATCAGAGATAAAATTTAGAGAGAAATGCTTCCGCTTAAGAGAGAAAAATAAACAGTCAAGTGATGAAGATGCAATTAAACTTGGTTAATTTATATGCCGCCATTTTGATCAAATGGATTTAATCGCAAAATAAAAATTCATGATAAAGAATTTCAACTCGGTGTCATCTTTATCAAGATTCTATTTAATTAAATCATTAATTATTTTTTTATTTCGGTAGCTCTGATTAATATCCATTAAAAAAAACAATCATCATTCAAAACGTACAAGTCATAAAGTTCTGCAATTTTATTAAATAAATAATTACCGTGTAATTTTACATCATTTGCATTATCATTATCATCATCAAAATTATGATTATTTTTAATAAACAGCATATTTATCTGATATTAAATATTACAAATTTAATGACGTTGCGTATCTATAATGAAATTCCAAATTAAAATTTCAGTTATTAGTTTCTTTAAAATTTGTATAATTTATCATTAAACATTGTTATTTAATTTTAAATCTCATAAACAAACGTTATTTATTAACATGCAGTCGTGTTTAATTAAAACATGCAATTGAACCTTTAGAAAAATATAATGTATGCATTATCATAATCATCATTAACATTGGCCATTCAGTCCAATAATTGGTCAAACATTACAACTTTTTATTCCTTCAGCCATTTCTTTCAGCTCTTAATATCCCTTTACAGCAATCTCCTTACCATTAAGTCGGGTAAGCTTACTTAACCTCGTGATAAACAAAAGAAACAAAATTATATTTAAAAAGTATTCTTCTCATACTTTTTAAATATCTCACGAGATTATATTCCTCTAAAATTGGAATTTAATAAATTAATTTTGTCCATAAATCAATAACTTAAGATTCAGTACATTAGTTTTTCTTTTAACGGAGTGGCCGTATTGCATCGCTTAATGCTTGCTTATTAAAGGGTCCGGATTTAAGTTACAATTCTCGTTTCCTTCTTGTTTCCATCAATAATAAAGAAAAAGGACGGAATGTTTTAATTAGATTTTTTCCCATATTTTCAAATTAAAATACAGTCGACCCCCTATAACACTGTTGATAATTCCGTTTTATATGAATTCCATGTTGTACGAGTCACTTAGATTTTACAAATACGTGAGTCGTTCACAGCCCGCCGCACATATTTGTAAAATCTAAGTGACTCGTACAACATGGAATTCATATAAAAACGGAATTATCAACAGTGTTATAGGGAGGTCGACTGTACATATTCTGACTTCGGTTTTTTTATTTAATTTTTTTTTTTTACCATCTCTTCGGTCCTCGTTCTCTCTATTTCCCAAGTGAATATTTAAAGCGAAATTTATGTAACAACTTTTTTTAAAACAGTTTTAATAATTTAAAAGTTAAAATACTTACTTAATAATATATAATTAATTATAATTTAAAATTTTAT